CACTAGAACAAGAAAACAAATTACAACCAGTTCGCAAACGCGTAAAACAAGCACAACCCTCTTGATTCACCGCTCCGTTCTATTAACATGAAATCTTAAGGATAAATCTCTACCCTTAACTAAACTCTCCGAGCCTAGATTTAATCAAGATAACCTGACCCTGAGCTAAACTCCCCCTGAGTCTAGACTTCAATTCTCCAAGTCTCTGGAACAACCACCACACACGAACCGTCACACCAACGAACCCAACGATCACCAAGATTCTTGCCAATATGAACCATCAACACCAATACACAAATAAACTTGATCACACAAGCACTTAACCCGCGAAACTACGTCGCACACGATCACACACACAATCTCTCACATCGATTTTGTCTTCAAACAAAGATATTTTTCCTTTTCCTGACTTGACAAACGCTCCAACATCCAAGTTCTCGAGCTTCTCATCAGTTATTATGCATCTCATCTTCCTTAATCACTTCTTGTACTACTTTCTGTACTACTTCGACGACTAGTATAGAACACCAAAATAACTGCATCAACAATCTCCCCCTTTTTGACTATGTATGTGAACTCAACAACTCTATCTTCAATGGCTCCATCACCAGTAACACAGCAACACCGGCAGTTCCAATCTCCCCCTTACTTGAGTCACTTCATGGTCAAAAACTAACCAAACGATCGCCTCCATCTAAACGAAGAATGAAATCCCATCGCACCATCACTGTAATGATTAACTCTCTTGGACCAAGTATTCCTGAATTGTATGAATCCATAACACACGATTCTTAGCTCTGGTTTACTTCCTGAACGATCTCCTGAATGATCTCCTGAACAATCTCCTGAATCATCTCCTAAACGATCTCCTGAACCTCACCCTGATCTACCCGAAACAAGACTAAATCTCTATCGAGAGTCTGCTCTTATACCAATTGTAAGTGCCGATGAGGTAATATAAATTGAAGACAGTAAACGAGACAAGAAATTAGTTAACCAGGTTCATTTTTTTCTACTCCTCGGGACCAAGTCTAGATTTCGATTTCACTAGAATAAGAAAGTAAATTACAACCAATTCGCAAACGTGTAAAACAAGCACAACCCTCTTGATTCACCGCTCCGTTCTATTAACATGAAATCTTAAGGATAAATCTCTACCCTTAACTAAACTCTCCTGAGCTTAGATTTAATCAAGATAACTTAACCCTGAGCTAAATTCTCCCTGAGTCTAGACTTCAATTCTCCAAGTCTCTGGAACAACCACCACACACGAACCGTCACACCAACGAACCCAACGATCACCAAGATTCTCCAATCTGAACAGTCAACACCAATACACAAATAAGCTTGATCACACAAGCACTTAACCCGCAAAACTATGTCGCACACGATCACACACACAATCTCTCACATCGAATCTCTTTGGGATTTTTACTCTTGCAAATCCACTTTATCATAAGGTCACGTCCTCCCATAAGGAAAAAATTTTCCTTTTTGCCAATTTCCTTTTTTTTCATGCAAACTTCCCTTTTACTTATATGAATCCTTTTATCTTCAAACAAAGATAATTTTCCTTTTCCTGACTTGACAAACGCTCCAACATCCAAGTACTCGAGCTTCTCATCAGTAATTATGCATCTCATTTTCCTAAATCACTTCTTGTACTACTTCCTGTACTACTTCGACGACTAGTACAGAACACCAAAATAACTGCATCAACAGGCCGTCATGTCTCTCAGTAAGTCTCGCAGCTTTGACCAGAGTCATCTGTTTTTGTGTCGTTGTGACTCGATCTTGACTCGAATCTTGTTTATGAACCGTTGTAGCACCACCCAAGTCATCGGAGACTCTCGTCTTACTCAACCTGTGTCACCGCGTGAAACATCTTCACCGGAGAGGTAAACCCATGAACCATAGATGATATATATGTCTCTATATTGCTTGATTGTTGGAACCAATATAATCACTAAACTTGAAAAACTATTATAGACTATTATATACTTCCTCCTCTCCGGAGAAAAACAGTATTTCCCAAAATAGAGATTTCAAATTTTATAAAAATATTTACTCAGATGTTATAGAAATGTTGAAATATTACTATCATATCATACATTTCTTTAAAATTACTCATATGTTTAGTGTTCTTCTGTAGTTACAATTAACACCCTTGATTAGTTTTTTCTAGTTGAGATTTTTTATTTCTTTTTTTAAGTAAAAAATGATTAATGAAAATTAGTTTAGTCCACCTCATTAAGAGAAAAAAAAATTAAAGCCACGTCATAAGAGAAAAAAAAGAAAGGAATACGAAAGGTTACATAACTTATTGTTTCACGGCAAATTTACATGTCACGGCTGAGTTATAATGTTTCATGAAAGACGAAAGGTTGAGTAAATTTACATATTACGGCTGAGTTATAATTATTCACGGCTGACTTATCACACCAACTTCACAAGGTTATCATGCGTTGTTTCCGCATATATTTTCACAACTCTACACCCTCTATCGTCGGTGTTAAATATATATTTGTGTTTCTTTACCCAATTACCGAAAACAACAATTACCGGAACCGGATCTATCATATATCGTGAGAAAGATGAACGAAAATGAAGAAGAATAAGGAAGACGATGACGAATTAGATGTTCAAAATTTAAGTTCTGGATATCTCTGTTGATGTGAAAAACACAGGTGAAAAACAACACAGTGAAGAACAAGACAAGTAGAAAAAAGACGTTTTGTATTTCCTTTGATGATGATGACATGAAATGATGACATGGAATGTTGCATCCAACGTCATTTTTTAATTGATGAAGTGGCAAGTAAGCCACGAAACGAACATATAAACCAGCCTAAATAAACAAGCCATCAAACAAAACTTTAAGTCAGTCGCAACATTAAGACTATTACAGTAATTAAAAAACGAAAAAATGGCTGCCAAATTCATTCGTTTAATGTCGTAACTCAACCGAAAATCTTTAACTCAGCCGTATCGTTTAATAAGTCGGCCGTAATTGCATGCTATTCTAGTAATTAATCTTTTGCTACTAAGTCAGCCATAATTAGGCCGAGTTTTCCGTTAATCCAGCTCATTACGACTGATTTATGACACACGAACATAAATCAGCAGTAACGACATTCCATAACTAAGTCGTCTTTGATAAATCAGCCAGCCGGAGAAAGTTAATTCAGTCGTGTCGAAGCAATAACTTAGCCAAAATTTTGACAAATAAACCATCGGGTAAAAACTCAGCCGTAACTTAGGCTGGGTTAAGCTCGAAAATCAGCCATTTTCTCATAACTCATACAGATTTCATTAAGTCAGCCGTAACTCGAGGCTGGATTATACTTGTAAGTCAGCCGTTTTCTTATAACTCAACCATTTTCCTTAAATAAGCCGCAACATACCGTAACTCAGCTGTCATTGCCGCTTTTACGGAAGAGTTCATTAATACATGTCAGCGATTTCTGACGTGGCGACGTGGTTTGTCTGACGTGTCAGTGACATTCTTTGTAATTAAGTTTTTTCCTATAACGTTTAACAGGGGCACGCTGGATATACAAAATATATTCGAAATATGATAGTTATAAAAAAAAGATCTGTATGTTTCTTGTCATTTCAGCTAATTTGTATGATATCTGAGTAACTTTTCCAATTTTATATGACTCGTTAGGAAGCTACCAAAAAGTATTATACCCGAACAAAACATTCATGTTTAGAGAGAAGGTGACACTCAAATAAAATAATATTTTATGGTTTTTTCCACCAGACCACAACTCTATATTTTGACAAGTATTATCACATTTTATCTTTCGTTGAGTTTTTCTGAGGTGAACAACATAGAACCTAAATCTATCTTCCAGATTAAGTGTTTGAGTTTTGGTGGCACACTAATTTTCCTTTTTTGGGCTTTTAAAACATTACAATGCATATCCTGGTCATTAACGCCTTCCAGAGACTAGGTGACTAGGCGAGCCATTATCCTTATTTAATCATATATCTCTAGAGTTTGCATTGTGTCATATTAATATACGAGAACTCTAACTAATGTGCCACTTCCTGTTCAAAAACTGAGTAAAAAAGCCACAAAACATAAATCTTTCCAAATGTGCCATAATGGTGGACAACATTTCTTGTCTACCCAAATTTTTGTATGTCGTTTCGAATTCTTATCCACCAAAAATCTGTTGTTTCAAAGGTGGACAAGATTTTTTGTCCACCAAATATCTTCTCTATCTGTTGTTTCAAAGGTGGTAACATTTCTTATCTACCCAAATTTTTGTATGTCGTTTTGAATTCCTGTCCACCAAAAGTCTGTTGTTTCAAAGGTGGACAAGATTTTTTGTCCACCAAATATCTTTTCAATTTGTTGCTTCAAAGTCTTGTCCACCATTATGGCGCATTTGGAAAGACAAATGTTTTGTAGCAATTTCTGTAATTTTTGCTACAGTATATTGCACATTAGACCAAAACCCTTAATATATCAAGCTTATAAGTCTGATATATCGCAATTAAAAAAACCAAGACTAAGAGATCAAGCAAGCACTTAACGAGCCGGTTCAAGAAATTTGGACAAGGAATGCATTCAAAAATCTATTAGCTAGGGATGACGTCAAGCATTTTTCAACGTCTTTTAAAGTCATTATAAAAATAATAATATTAATAACAAACAAATGTAAAAAAAAAATCAGATTTTTTCTTACATTCTTTTCTATAATTATAAAAATTATTATTAATACTTTTAGTTTTAAAACGGCACAAATCGACATTGGTTTGAGTTTTTAGAGTCACACTATCAAAACGACGTTGTTTATTAAGAAAAGTGACATGGCATTGCCACCATGTCAGCTAAATCAGTGGTTGACTAATTCATATTTAGGTCACCTCTGTTTTAGGCAAAAATTAAAAAGTTAGGATAGTTTTTAAAAATGTTTTAAGCGCCGAGATAGGAAACAATATTAAAATCTTTGTTGAGGTATAACATTAAAAATATATCGTGCTGTTTATTTTTCTGACATCATCTCCAAATTAGGGTTCCCATTGATATTAAATGTCGTTGCATCAGTACAACTTTCTCCAGCGGTAATTTCATTAGGATGTGCCTCTTGGGGGAGACCAACGTTTGTCGTTGTAGTGTTGTTGGTCCTGCAAAATTGTGAGTTATTAATGTTACCTCTTTCCCTTTGTATTTCCAGCTCATGGCTCATGAAATCAAAAGGGTATTTTCTAGGTTGATTCATACCCACAATTGGATTATTTTTCATGTTCTGATGTTGTAATGGTTGAGAGGCAGATCCAACGAAATCCTTGAAAGTCATCACTTGGGGGCAAACTGACATCGTCTCCAAATTAGGGTTCCCATTGCTACTGCTTTTATGGTATGGATAGTAGCCTCTACGGTTTGGATTTTCATACCCAATTTGCTGGTATATTACAGGTTTAGGCGGTTTGGATGTTGGAAACCATTGTTCAATTAAGTAATAACTTTTATTCTTCCTTAAACTATCAATGTTATTCATTTTTGTTGCTTCATTCGTGTTCCCAGCTCTCTCATCATCTTGATCACCTCCTAAGAAAGCATCATTTGTGGTGATCTTAAACTGTTCGACTTGCGTTTCAAATGGAAGCACAGGTAGATCACGAAGAGGAGAAAACTGCATGAAATCTAGCTTCTTCCTAAGAGATATGATAGTATCCCTTGAGAAAGATAGTAATGTATAGATCTCACTTAAGTTAAGAGCATTGATTGTACGACCGCATTGCATCATCAACTCATTAGTGACATACTCTTTACTCTTTTGACAACTCTTTATCATTTTTTCATTAACCTTATTTGTCTTCTCATTTAGATATAATTCGACATCCATCTCTTTCTTAATATGCTCGTACCTCGGTAAAGCAAAGAAATCGTCTAGGAGGTCACGAGCCGTCTCAACTGATGGCCAAACCACTGGCTCAGCTTAATTAGGACTAAAAATGATCATACAAGCATTTACATCACACAATATGGATAGTTCCTTCACTTTTTTCAATAACCCTGCCCTCCTTTTCCTTAAAATTATTGCTCTTGTATTGTCATTCTCTATCCATGCAAGTTTTACTTTTTTTTCTTGTCATCGTCACTTTTTAATTTTAATCTCTCTCTTTTAAAATTAAAATTATTGTTGGGTAGGTGATGAAAGAACAACTCGAGAATTCATTTATATAGAGTTGAAGTAAATGGGTGAGATTTTGGACATCAATTCTAGTCAAAAGAAAGAGACAATGTGAATGATTCGTAAAGATATAAAATTAATTACTATTTCTTAAAAAGTGTTGACTGTTTCTTGGGTGTGGTTATGATAAACCGAACCTTTTCTATCTAAACCAAATTGAGAATATATATATCCATAAACTTAGAAAATCTTTGATTTGGTTAAAAATATTTTTTTTCAAATATCATTCATAACTTAACCGATTTCAAACCAAAATGAAATGAAAAAATGTTTTTAAATAGTAAGCATAACTTGCCTAAGAATTGAATTCAAAGCTAAATTAAAATTCTACCAAACTATATTAGATTTTGTTTTGTTTTGTTTTATATTTATTATTCTTTTTCATAACCAAATTAGTATACCATAACTGTGTCCCGGATTAAACCACCAACATGTTAGAATATCTATGTGGTTGTACTATTACTACATGGAATCAAAACTAAATTTCTGTCCAAATTTGTAATCCCATTCAATATTCTGAATTAATGAGTTAATTAACTTTTCTCTCATTATTTAAAGCTAAAAGATATATTGACCATATTATCTTCATTATTGTGTATTAGATTAATTAGTATTGTTTGAAAATTATTTGGAAACTAAATATTGACTATACATTTCCTTTATAAAAATCATTTTAACATTTTCATACAAATTTTTTTTTTTCTAAATGTTTTACCATATTTTGTACACAAAAATGACTTATTCTTTACTTATTTTTATTTTTAGTTTTAATGTTTTCTTATCAAACGTTATATTAAGATTATAAAATAATATTGGTATGGTCAAGAAAGTCTAACAATTTTTTTTTTTTGACAATCAAACTCCATATATTAATTCACGAATAAAAACTCTCTTATAGAGAGAGTCAGTCGGATACCGTCGAACTTACATGGAAAAAACAAAACCTGCAAATTCTTGCACATTTAGCAAGATGATCGGCGGAAGTATTACCACTACGAGGGATATACTTAATACTAAAAGTAGAGAATAAGTTCTGTAATACACAAAATCCCTTATCTCTGTAGAAAAAGTAGGTCACTCCTTGGGGCTAAAAGTCATCTCTAACAGATCCCTCATCCTCTGTAATACACATATATTAATTTACGGATAAGAACTCTCTTCTAGAGAGAGTCATCCGGGTACCGTCGAATTTACATGGAAAAACAAAACCCGTGAATTCTTGCACATTTAGCAAGATAATCGACAGAAGTATTACCACTACGAGGGATATATACTTAATACTAAAACTAGAGAATAAGATATGTAATACACAAAATCCCTCATCTTTGTAGAAAAAGTAGGTCACTCCTTGGGGCTAGAAGTCATCTCTAAAAGATCCGAGCAATCCGTCAAAATAAGGATAATATTCATCGAGATCGCCAGTAAGCATTTCATCGTCCACAAAAGAGTCTCCAATTCAACATGCAGGGGAGATAGACTTCTGCGTCAGCCCTTTAATCCTAAATGCAACAATCTTCCTCCACACAAAACAGTCCAACCATGTCCGCTCCTAGACTCCATTCCATGCTATGACCCGTCAATAAAGCATACCAATCTATCCGCTAGAATTGGCGTCACTTGCACTATATGGTTCCTCTCGGGTTGGGGCTCTTCTCACCGGTTTTCTTGCCTCCACGCCTCTTCTTCTTGAATTGCAATGTCCAAAGTGTTCTGAGGTGGTTCGCTCATATTATCGAAAATCTTTCGATTTCGCACCTTCCAGATTTACCACAAGATCCATGGAAATACTCTAAGGCTCTCCTTATCCGCACCCGCCTCTTTACCCTGCCAATACAAATAATCTAGATTATTGTAAAGCGAAGGTAAGGTGAATAAGGCTGGAGATGATGGGATATTGGAGAGGGTCCATACTTGTCTAGGTGGAGGGCATTCAAAGATCAAGTGATTAATCGTATTTTCTTCTGCTCCATATCTAGGACATCCTTTACCCTCTACCAACATGGAGATAAAATAGTCGTTGGCACGAGGCCAAACAACCTGACACACATTACCACACGAAATGTTTTAATTTTCGCATAGTTTTTAATTTCCAAGCTTGCACCTGAAGTGCTGTGACACTAGATCCTTAGAAGAGGATGGTCGCAATCAGGACGAGAAATAGTTTTCGCGGCCTCCTATCCAAATTTGGCGGAATAATTGCCAATCTAACAAAATTTTAAAAGAATGATACTAATATATTTTTAAACAATGGACATTTCATCACCCTTTTTTCTTCGTTTATCGATCTTGCTTTTTTGGCTTCTCGTTGTTGTGAGGCTGTTGAAGGTTCTTTTTGACTCGGAATGTTTGTGATTTTTTTTCCCAGGATTTTGTTCCTTAGCTTTGGTTTGTATCTGAACTACTCAATTTTTTTTTTTTTTTCTGATTTCAATAATACTCTGACGCTAAAAAAACTATAAACCTAGGTTTTTTTAAAATAATGTTATTAGTTTTTCATCAAAATAATTTTATTGATTTGACTAATAAGATGAAACATTTGATGTCATATATACATATTCGCAAAAGTATTGTGAATTTTCAGATTGACCAAATTTAATTTGGTATTGATCAGGTACAAAATCAAAACGTGTTTGCAAAAAGATAATAAGCCCGAGCCCGGCTCGGCAGCTCGCAGAAGTTTGCTTCTTCTTCCATAATTGGTATCAAGGTTTTGAACCTTGTTAGAACTTCTCCACTATATATAAGAGGAATTTTCACTTTATAGTTTCCAAGCAACCCACTTTAGACTTTCATTTCTCATCCACTTTAACTCCAATTTTGACATATGAGTACACTACGTTATAGTGCTCGCATTGAGGAATCCATTGCTAATCTGCTTATTCCGATAAAGGAATTCACGCGAAAGTTACCCGGAAAACAACATATCTAAAAATTGAGTTCCAACAAACATTTGCAGTATCAAACGGTTCCAAAATAGTCAATGGAGCTGACATTGAGCTCTTATAAATTCAAAATTATAAGTAGACGATTAGGTATTCTGCTTTCTTAAAAGAAGATAAATTTTACGGTTATTACTTCTAAGTAAATTTCAGATTAGCGTCATTTACTCATCGATGATTTGCAAGAAATTACAACTTTAATACTATAGTACCTTTGGGGAGACTTAAACAAAATATACTCTATGTTTTATATTAAGTGCTGTTTTAGAATTTAAATACTATTTTATTTTAAACTTTGTAATACAAATTTTTTATGTAAACGTCTGGCAATCCCTCTCCTCTAAGCTAGTTTTTGGGTTTGAGTTAGGTCCACACTAATACGATATCAGAGCCAAGTTCCAATCTTCTCAATTGTAAGCTATTACCTGTGGATGTCCAGTCCCACAAACTTCATGCTTTACATGTCCAGTCCCGAGCGTCAGGAGGGTGTATTAGAATCCCACATTGGAAGTTGGCAAAATTTCTTGGACCATATATAAATATGTGACAACCCTTCACTTTTGAGCTAGTTTTTATATGTAAATTAGGTCCACGCAAATACAAGGAGCTTCAAGCTGAGCTAGCAACTGACGAGAGAGCTGTTCAAGCTGTTGAAGTGGATAAGATCATACCGTTAGTCTGTTAATAGAGAAAAAATTTTAGGACATTTGAGTGTAGAAATACAACTACTTGTAAAATCATTCTTTCTGTTTTGACATATTGTTAGAAAAGATTATGTTCTTATCATCGTGCGACAAAGTGAGTTGTTCAAATAAGTAATTCAGCTGAAGAAGTTACGACACTGAAGGAGCAGATTATATTTAGATTCAACGAAAGACATCGAAGATCAAAGATATGGAGAAATTTGGCTTATACATGCATTTAATAAGGCACAAGTAAGTTTAAACTTTAAACACAAAATATAAAGAAGGGACCAGTTGTTTGGATATCGCCTACGACCCCGTGTAGACAGTAACAACCACAAATCCTGTCATCAGACCGTAATTTCACTGTTGGTCCAAGAAAACCACAAATATTTTCTACTTTCTCATCAAACATTTACAGACGACAGTATTTCCCTATAGAAAAAAATAAAAAGCAAGGAAAAGATTGAACTTTACAAAAGGATATACAAAAGGAAGAAATGGTCAAGGATGCGAAGGTGGAGGAGGAGCGGTAAGAGCGTAAGTGAGACTGTTGGATGAGTTCTCAATAAAGCCAGCCACTCCTGCCGCTGATTGTGTATTTGATGGCAGGAACAAGTCGTGCTTTTGGTCTTTATATGCACTCCATACCTGTGAGAAATCCATTTGGGGTTAAAAAAAAAAAAGTAAACACTTTGTTGAACAAGACTTTATTCGTAGTTTTTCAATATCACAACTTACTTCTGACGCATCAAGTATCTCACGCACTTTTGAGCAATGTGCTCCTTCTGTTGCAAAACCATGCAATACCTGAGACACATAGTAATTATTTCATCAATCACATGTGTAACAAACATCTCGCTAACAAATTCAACACTAACCTCAACTGCAAGCACCCGCCCGATCGATGCTTCCGATTCATTCCATTTCAAGTGAGAACTGAGCCCGTACCTTCCCCCCGTCCTCCAGTCAAGCAACCCAAGAAGGACCTCAATAAGACCAACCCTACCAATTTTCACAATCATTTGTCTCAGCCAAGTAGATATATCCCATTCAAAAATGGGCCCAAATTTCAAGCCTTGTAGCCACTTCTTCTAAACGACTATTTTCCACAATTTTATTCTGTAACTAGGTATTGTCAGATTAACACTTCAGCAGTCTTAGCAGAGTTTGCATTTAGAGATAATTAAGATGTGAGTACCCGTC